CAGCTCTACAAGTTGGCTGTCAAGAAGCCATTAAGTCCAAGCAGATAGGCCAACTTTACAAGAGCAGGATGGTCTAGAAAGTTGCAAGATCTTGCAAACTAAATTTAAAGTGAAAGACTTGCATTTCAGTGCTTTGTATATGAACTTGGAAGAAACAACCTCTTTGAGATAACAAGGAAATTGTTGCAAGTTTAGTGTCTTTCCATAGTTTTAAATATTAACATAAATGTGCTAAGTCATATTTTCCATAAGCTAACCATCCATCTCACATAGCATCACACAGATTCTTGCCCTTCACAGCTATGGTCATGGAGATACTGAAAGTGAAAAGCACTCAGATCAATTCAGGGTTTAACAAAGTCAAATCGTTTTATTGCTGTCAAGGGTACAAAGTTATATCATTTGCACAGTGCCATAATTGCTTAGAGGAAATGTAAAACCGCGGATATAAGGGAACTAACCTGCTCTTCTCAAAGAGATGTGCAGTGCTAGTTCCCCTTGTTCTCTGCAAGTCATGTTATTCCATTCTTATGAAATGGTGAAAAGTTCAGTGGCCAAGGAGTGGAAGTCAGTCTATCAATTCAGAATATTCTGCTACACAGTGGTCTTCTGCTAAGAAGGTGGAGCTATTTTCTGGCAGGAGCAGACATGAACATTGCCATCTCACAGCTTAAAGCTGTCCAGTTGCTTTTAAGGAATAATTAATCATCCTCTCCCCTCTTTCCTCTTCCCAGACAGCACTCAATGCCATTACTGATCGTCTGCTAATATGAAATGTGATTGATTCCCATTTGGAGGAACCCACATGAGTTTTTCCCACCAAGTGTGTGTAAAATTCAGTCTGTATGAAATGACTGACAGCCAAAAGGGGTACAGCTGCAAAACATAAACATGAAAGTGCTTTTAGTCAGAATACTTTAAATGAGATAACGATGTTATTAATGTCCCTTTCAAGAAGTCATTTATAAAACCACAATCAATTACTATAGTGATTGTAGTACTACATATAGCAATATACTTAAGTGACAGAGATACTGGAAACCAGCTATTATTGTCTGGAGATAGTAAAATTCTCCTTGTTAACATACATGGCTTTTTTCCTGGCTCCTTTATAGCTAGTCTCTCTACATATGTTTATCATAAATGACCTAACACTTAGACTATAAATTTTCCAATACCATGTTTTCACGAGACCAAATCTCAAAGTCCCTATGCCCCTTCCCCAGTGTCCCAGGATGGGTACCTGTCCCAGTCACACTAACCCTACCTTTCATGCAGCCACAGATGAGAAGCAGATCATGGAGGTGCCCTGGACAGACCAGAAAATGAGTGCAAATTGTACAAAGCAACATCAATTTCCCAAGTTTAAGTAAGTGATGGAAAACCCTTACACTGGGATTATCGCAGCAGGCTTTGCCTTCCTGAATCACAGTGTGGCTTCTTTTGTGAAGTCTTGGCTCTGCTCTGGGTCTGCCAGCTACTACCAAAGATAGTAAACAAACAATTAAGATATAAGGTCTACAAAATACATGATCACAAACACAACTGCATTTTTTAAGATTAATGATAATGATTAAATCCTTGCCCTGTATTAATAAGCAAGGTCAATCAATCACTGTCATCTTCTAATAAATCACGTCCCCTTTTAAAACCCCATCTATTTTCCAGACTAAAACATTCCATATGGGTGCCTTCTAATTCAAAAGCAGAGACAAAAGCTGAACAACCAAGGACAGCGAGGGACAGGCTAAGGTACAGGCTAGGGTGGCTAGGCAAGAGTCCTGGCCAAGCCACTGGAGGTAACTTCTGAGATGACGGCAGCAGCAAGTCAGGGGAGCCTCAGGCTGCTCCAGCTCAGGAGGTGAGCTGGGAGGCAAAAAAAGCGAGGGCTAAGGAACTGTGTGTGCTCTGGGAGGCAGGACTTGGGGTTAGATCATATAGAAACAAGGGTGGCTTGGAAAAGGGAGCAGCAAGGGGAAATAGCAGGAGAAAAGAAAGACAATGTCTACAGTCAACATTACTAATTAATGTTATAATACCAATGTGTGTCCTCATAATGTCAGTAAGGATGACAAGAGGCACAGACTTAACCCACAGAGGAAGCCTTTAGCCCAGTATCTCCAAACTTGTCATCATTTAAATATACTTCCTTAATAATGTTTGTTTAATACAGTTCTTGTATGTGGTATTTATATTGTCTGAATTGCTAAGGGCTCATTTCCTACAGAGGACATGGGAATTAGCTCCCCAGTGATGAGTTTCAACATGAAGCAATGGATTTGCCTGGTCTGAGGTACCCGCAGGCTGGTGTTCTGCAGGGATGATGCTTTGTTTTTATTTTTCCCATCTTCAATTATTGCAGTGATTTTTCCAATGAAATACATGTTGGCCCTGCTGAGCAGTGAGCAGACTCCCCTCTGGGTGATAGCAGCATCCTTTGTCCTAATGGAAACCTGGTGCTTGGGGGTGATAAAGTGTGATGGGGTTTATTTAAAGACAAGTTCATTAAGAAAAGGGAGAGTTTATTTTTAAGAACAATCTTGTGGTGCGAAGAGTGAGTAGAGCTCAGAAAGGATTTCCCTGAGGCTGCATTGGTGTGAAAGGCTACTTGGGGAGAGAACCACAATGATTCAGTTCCTGTGGATTAAAGATGCAGTGCTCAGCAGAGGATATGGTGGGGTAAAAATACCTGGGCTGTAAAACTTCAGGGCTCCCAGAGAAGTGAAGGACAGGCAGAAAAAAATGCTGCTTACATCAAGAAGCAGCAAGAGCTGTCCTGTGTATGGACCAGATGAATCAGTGGTTGTGGAGGACATGTGAATCCCATGGTATCTTCTGATACCTTTGAGTGTGCTTGTGGACCAGGTGGCACTTGCTAAGGAAAGCATATGGATTGCAATTGCTTCTGGACGGTGTTCCAGATTATAGAGAAAGCCTCTTTGCTTTATCCTCTGGTCAAAGAATCAGACATAATAAGGGTGCAAACTAGTAAAGCCAAGATGTGGCTTGGCAGAGGGGACTCCCATGAACAATTTGTGAAGAAGATTTGAACTGAAGTTTTGGCTTTAGGCTTAAGCAACCAAATTGGCATTTCCAATGCAGTAACAACCTGAAGATTGATGGATGATTTCCATCTGGCTTGTCCAGCCCATTCTTAATAAACAGTCCTGATATTTTCTCCAAGGCTATTCATACTTTAAAGCAGTGTCTGAGGATTGGAGTCAGCTTTGGGGGAGGCTTCTGCTGTGCCTCAGGTAGAATTTAAAACTCATTTTGCTAACCCAGAGTCTACGACGATACAGATCTGTTTTCCTTGGGTCTATTCACAAAACGCAGGTTTTTTCCAAAGTTTCTATTTTGGTTGTTTCCTATTCATCTCATTCAGGAGACAGCACTCCAGTTGCTCAATAAGAGCATATGTACCCAGAGCTAAGCAGCTGACTAGCTTTGAGATCATAACTCCTCATTCAAATTTTAAATTCTTCACTAGCTTGCATGTGCAAACTCTGACCAGAGCCTAATCCACTGGTGTCAATGAGAATGGGTTTTACCTCTCAGATTTAGCCATCTAAAAATCAGGCATGTATTCTAAATTCTACTGTAGAGGAGCCACTTGTAGTCAAAATAGAAAGATCAGCATTTCCAGGATGTTATTTACACCATCTGCCTGAAAGACTTGTCTTGAGAGGTGACAAGGGTGTTTCTGGCAGCTGCTCATTCCCCTGCCTGTTGAGGGAGCCTGTACAACTAGAGTTACAACTCCGTACAAGAGTACAACTCCTTAAAAGAGTACAACAAGCCTGTACAACTCCTTACTCTTCAAAAAGTGAAGCCAGGGGAAGGAATTGTTCTGTTTATTTTAATGGAAAAGGATTCAGGCTTTCTGCTTTCTACATCCTTTGTGCCAAAATAAATTACAAATGAGTAAATGAGATCCCAGACGGTATCCCAAGTGGCATCTTACAGACCTCTATCTCTGGCTTAAGTCAGCATTTGGGATGTATGGAAAAGGCAGATGAATTCCTGACACAAAATTAAACCTTTTATTTTTTTTTCTTTTTGTACCTTGCATTGTACTGGACTGCCTGACAGGGAGCACAGTTTGATGGAAATCTCAAAGCAAAGGCGAAAGCTTTTTGTCTGCCTCCTCTACAGACACACGCAGTGGGAAATGTGAAATGTCAGGAATAATTAGACAAAGCTATATAAGCTCCTAGCAACACTGATGTGCTGTGTAAAACTAAACGTTTGCCATAAAGCTTTAAGCATTGTTTGAAAGCTGTATGTTAAAGGTAACCTGAGTAATTTTTAAGTACTGTTTCCAAAATGTTAATCTAGACAGGGATATGAAAAAGCAGAATAGAAAACTATGAAATGCTGGCATGCCTTCACTGAGATTACTGCTGTTTCTTTTTTCCAAAGATGATATATAGAAGTAATTGAGCCCTCTCGCATAGCAATTAAAATGAAAAGGCAGATTTCCTCAGCTCTTCATCTGCTGGAGCCTATTCAACAAGACGGAAAAGGAGTAGCTCCTAGCATCAGTAATTCACAGATATCATAGAAATGATTGTTGGAAGAGATCTCTGAAGGTCACTTAGTCCAACCTCCCACTTCAAGGGAGATCTCCAAAACCAAAGGAGAAATAACCACACCAGTAGGAAATCTGGCCTAAAGTGCCCTTTGGGGAAGAAAAAGAAACGGACTATGAATTGCAGATAAAAAAAAGAGGAGAAAAGGCAGCAGAGAAGAAAACAGACCAGAATTTTTATTTGAAGTGCTAATATTAAAAGCTTATGACTTTTTGACAAAAGGCGGGGGTTTTCTAGGTTCACTAACAGATGTGGTTTTGTCTTCTTAGGAAAATGATGAACAGGAGAAAACCTGGAAGCTTTTTGCTGCTCTGTTGAATATGGGATTATAAAATAATAATTTAAAAAACTGCATCTGAAGCATCTCTGTCCCTCTTCCAAATGGGTCACTTCTGAACCTGAAACTCTTCATTACCTGAAGCAGCAACTTCTTTCACTGTGCATCCTGGAGGGGAAAATGAATTTCACAAATTGCACCACTGAAGCCAATGTGGCTTCGAAGCCAAAAACAGTAACTGAAAAGATGCTCGTTACCCTGACCTTGGCCACAATCACAACCTTGACTATGCTGCTGAATTCTGCTGTAATTGCGGCAATCTCCACAACCAAGAAGCTTCACCAGCCGGCAAATTATTTAATATGTTCACTAGCTGTGACTGATCTCCTTGTTGCTGTTCTTGTCATGCCCTTGAGCATCACTTACATAATGATAGATAAATGGACTTTGGGATACTTCATCTGTGAGATCTGGCTTAGCGTCGACATGACCTGTTGCACATGTTCAATCCTTCATCTCTGCGTCATTGCTCTGGACAGGTATTGGGCAATCACAGATGCTATCGAATATGCCAGGAAAAGAACAGCAAAAAGGGCTGGGCTGATGATAGTCACCGTGTGGGCTATCTCCATTTTCATATCAATGCCCCCTTTGTTTTGGAGAAATCACCACAGTGTCAGTATCCCCAGCGAGTGTCGCATTAAGCACGATCATGTCATCTACACTATTTATTCCACATTTGGGGCATTTTACATCCCCTTGACTTTGATCCTGATCCTGTACTACAGAATTTATCACGCTGCAAAGAGCCTTTACCAAAAGCGGGGTTCAAGCCGCCACCTCAGCAACAGGAGCACCGACAGCCAAAACTCCTTTGCCAGCTGCAAGCTCACACAGACATTCTGCGTCTCGGACTTCTCCACATCTGACCCAACCACGGAATTTGATAAAATCAATGCATCTGTGAGGATCCCTCCTTTTGAGAATGACTTGGACCTGGCTGGTGACCGGCAGCAGATCTCCACAACACGGGAACGAAAGGCTGCTCGCATTCTGGGGCTGATTTTAGGTGCTTTCATTTTGTCCTGGTTGCCCTTTTTCATCAAGGAGCTGCTTGTTGGCCTCCACATTTGCACTGTCTCTCCAGAAGTAGCAGACTTCTTGACCTGGCTTGGATATGTCAACTCCCTTATCAACCCTTTGCTGTACACTAGCTTTAATGAAGACTTCAAGCTGGCCTTTAGAAAGCTCATCAGGTGTCGAGAACATACTTAAAAGTACTGGGAGATGATGATGCTGACAGGACTCCTGGCCTTAAGAATGGGCAAAATGATTTAATTCTGTCACCATTTCCCTCATTAAAGGGAATTTTTGTTTTTGCCTATTTGCTTGACTTGTCTTTAGCCTGTAATTCATTCTGCCATTTTTTACCTCCAGTGTTATTCATGGTAAAAACTTTGAAATAAATTTATTCTACAAAGGAAAAGATTTTTTAGCAATGAAACAACAAAAAAAGGAAACTGTTAGATACTCGTGTTCAGGACATTTTGTGTACTCAGTGATTTGAGAAGCAAACAACAATATTCACTTTTATACTTTTTCCATTTAAGAATCAAATGTCTGAATTACCATGCACTGTAAAAATATAAAGGCATATAAACTGAACCCCATACATGCGTATTCAAAAATTAATAAACACTTCATGGGCATGACAGCCAAACAACAAATCTCAGCCATGAGAAAACTGTAACAGCCATTTAGAAGGAAAATAACCATTTCCAGGAATTCTTCAGGAATAAACTCCCAAAACACAAAGCAAAGTTCAATTCGTTCCAGCTAAAATCGGATCCCATTTTGTATTCCAGAGGAATTACTCAAGTGGCTCTTTTTGTGTAAGGTTCTGGATTTATGGTCAAAGTATTGGGCAGACACCTGTGCAGTTTGTTTGGCAACTGAGAGGATGCAGCTAGCAAGTGTCACCCAAGAGACCAGCTGCACATCTGACTGGTCACATTTTTGATACCACTAACAGTACTTCCTCAGGGCTCAGGCCTTGTGCCTTCATTAGTTCTGGGATAGTATTATTCACTTGTGCCACAATTCTCCTGGACCTTGCAATGCAGAACCCCATGGGTTGATGGATCTTACCCCACTGACTTAAACACTGGATATCTTCTCAGCAGGCCACCAATATATAGAAATTCAGAAATATCATCTAAACCCAAATTATTTTCTGTTTGAACAGCAGAAAAAAAATAGAGTAAATAATTTTTACATAGCAGGCTGCACATCTGCCTCTTCTTATTTGCAATGATATTCTTGTCAGCCTGACCCCTGATGAGGTCCTTTAGCAGGATCTCTTGTTCTGGTTGTCCTTCACAGAGTTACTTCCTTTGTCTTGAGAGGCAGACATGACAGAGAGTTCCTTCTATCCTGTCTTCTGTGCTTATGGAAGTTACAATCTCCTGGTTCACAAATTGTGGAAATCAGGCTGGGAAAGGCAATATCAAAGTTGAGAATCTGTTATTGGCCATTAGCAACTTCTAAACTCCATTTAAATACCTATTACTTACCTTCACCATAATTTTCTTCCTTCTCCATTTTTCTGTACAAACTCTTTTTGAATATACCAATATACCAAATAGAAAGTACCACATACATCAACCTGACATCCAGTAACAGCGAACTGTAGCATGGCAGCTCCAAATCCATCAAAACAAATATTAGAGGTAGAAAAAGTGTTGTAACAGCATTGGAAGGCATCTCTGGAAAATGTTTTGAAAATTTACAAGATGACAGTCATTTTTCTTAGCAAGAGTCAAGGAAGTGTAAGTAACATGTGAGTAATAAACTGCAGATGGAGCTGAGAAATGACATCCTTATTGGTGGGAGAAAGCATTCAGATGGAAAGATGCAGAGCTGCAAGCTGAGTGTAAATCAAGTCCGAAGGTGACCAAAATGGGACCTACTACTTACCCACATGCAGTGGGAATCTGCTTTAAGGACTCCAAGTTTTCCATGCCTGAGTTTAGACGGCTGATCTCCAGCTGCCCTTCTGGAGCTATTGTCACAGCTGCCTCCTCCAGCTGCCTTTGGCTTCCATACTAGCTTATATTAACACCTAAAAAAACAGGGGGGGGGGGGGGAATCTCAGTCACTGAAAATGTCTTCTAGTGAGGAAGCACAAAGATCCATTATGATTTTTCCTTTTTGCAACTTGCTGGAGTTGCAAACTGTTGATTGAAGCTGGGAAAGAGTGGCCTGACCCTGCCTATCTATAAAACTTCCAAAGCAGTTCCCCGGAGTACATATGCTATTGAGAAAAATTTGGCTGGGAATTAAAATAAAGAGTAGTATTTGTGAGAACTGCTGCAGAATAATTCTATTTTTCCTTTCAACAAGCTCAGTGGAAATGATAAGTAAAGAACAAAGACTGTGCACAATTTCCCCAAACAAGGTGACTACGTAAGGGAAGACAGGACACACAGGCAGTTGTTGCTGGAAGAAGGTAGGTTTGGCAAAGTCCATGCTACAAGGGTGCCCAGCTACAGTAATGATCAGAAAGGAAAAAGTAAATGTGCTCTGCTGTCATGCAGTGTGCAGTCATGTTTCTCATGGAAAAGTAACAGCTCAGTTAATTCTGTCATCTATATTGATGCTCATTTAAATCCAGAAGCATGTCTGAAGGACCAGAAATGGTAAACATGACCTCCACAGCAGCTGTTGTAGGTAGTTAGAAATGTTTCAGTCAGGTATGAAAGTTGTAAAATACAGGAGCTGCATCATAATTTCTACTAATGTCTTTTTTTAGTATCTGATCTCCACTATTACCATTCAGACTACCAATCAGGTTGAAGACTGTATTCAGTTTTAATATTTAGAGGTAATTAACAGGAAAAAACAGATGGATGGCTAATTTTCATGCTTCCCTGTTAAATAAAGACTCACCATTCACTGCCAGCTGACTACTGCTTTTTTAATTAAGTCGTTAGCTAAACACAGAGCTATGTTTTCCAACAAATGCCACTAGACTAATAAAGATGTCCTTTACATTTTCTTCATGCTCAAAGTCAGGAACAATTTAAAGGATTTGTTACTTAAAAGAATTTAACTTGATCAGAAATTACCTGTCTTCTCATGGAAATAAAAACTTTTGCTACTCTGGCACCACTGCTTGGTAACTTCGGGTTTTTTCTGTGCTGAGTATTTGCTGAATTTACAAAGGGTTTGGAGGCATTTCCTGAACTTTAACTTCTTATCAATGGTAACTTGCCATTCATACCTATCCTGGATCAGGCCCAGACACACCACACACTGCAGTGCTCTTTCCAGCAGGCTCTTAATGATGTATGCAAGACCTTCAACCTACATCCATCTTCCTTGGCCTCTCTAAAACATCTTTCATCCTCAAAGTCTTATTTTCCCCAATGCTCCCCTTGTACAGTTGTCTTCCTGCCTTTCTTCCTGTATTTCTCCAAAGGCTTTTCCTCCACAGTCCTCCACTTTCTACAGCAGGATTCATACAGACGTGCCTATTCAGCCCCTCGTCACTTGTACGCATTTTCTCTGAGTGCTATTTCCTTCTATTTTTACATCCCAAACTCACCATCCTGCCTTTGGGTTTGTGGCTCTCTCTAATCCCTAAATTTACTGTGGTCCTACTTCCGTGACCTCCACTCTCTCCCCCTGTCTCAGTGCTCTTATCAGGATTCCCATGGCTGTGGGTGTTCAGGTCTGTCAGGTGTTACTCTGTCATGTGTGTCCAGGCCATATCCAGAAGTTTCTCACTCTGTGTAAGCAGCCAGTGCTTTGGACTGACTTTATATATCCCTAACCCTAAAGACTGCACCCTTCAGCCAGCTGGCCTCCCCAAAAGACACTAAACTCCTGCTCTTCTGTGCCAACCTCTTCTCCTGTGACAACCTCAGGTCTCTTCTCTGCAGCTTTGTCTTCACTACCTCCATGCAGTGAAACATCTCTCCTGTTCCTTACAGCTGACGGGGGGTTTGCCTTCTCAAACCCACTTCTGACATTCCTCCTGAAAGGCAACATGGGCAGTGAAGGAATTATTGTGCATGTATTGTCTATCCTTTTTCTCTGTCTTTCCCACATGGACAAGATCCTCGTCCGAGGTGAGCTGTCTCTCACATAGCACATCCTAGACACAGCAAAAACACGTTAAGAGCCGCATATGTCCTGCCACTTTGATTTAAAGCTGGGGGTTCCCCACCACAATAATATACTGAGCTGTTTGCAGCACATTAAATTAGTTTTATTCATCTTCCTGAATGGAGGTATATGAGGAGATTGAGCTTTCCAAAAGGGTTTCTAACAAAGTCCCCGTTTCACCAAGTTTTCGTAAAAGGCTGTCACTATTCAGACTTCACTGCCATGTACCTGAGCTGTCCAGTTTTCCATAGCTGTCGCTTCTTATTTCTCTGTGCGGCCCACAGACTCTGTCCTTTGCATGTACCAGGAGGGAACGGGGGAAAAGAAAAACCCCAAAAACACCCTACACACACACAACCCCCCAAAAAAGCAATCAAACAAAACAATGCAACAAAAACACACACACCCCAAAATGAAAAGTAGCTTTATTTTGGAGAAGGTATTAAAAGAATAAGGGAATCTTTCCTAAGGACTCTATTACCACTACTGTTTTCAACCCCATTTATCAAAAGGTAAAGAGCATTGCAGTGTTGAAGGGAAATACAGGCTTCCAGCACAAGTGCAGAGGTTGTCCTTGTGCATGCGTATTTTTTAACCATCGCAAGTATCAGTAACAGGCTGGTTTATGTTCATCTTTGACACATCCAAATGATTTGTATGATGATTGTCTTAAATTGTTTAAGGGGACACAGTAAATATTGTGATATCTTTTATTGGTCTAGTCAATACATTACAAGTTGTATTTCATAAGAGTCCCATACAACACATACTGCCTTTGTATATTTGTATATTCTCCCTCATTGCTGTTTTGAGGCCAAAAGAATGGATTTTTTTAAAGTTATCTGACTTCGGATAAATGTTCATCAGCTGTAAAACTACTCTTTAACATTCTCTACTTCATACTATGTACATAATATTGCCAACGTTGCTCCCCTCCTCCTTGCCACTCCCAGGGGACTTTTTTCCTCAATTCCACATAGGTGATTGCATGTAGATGATTTTATATGATTAAATTACTCCTTCCCACTCAGCCTAAACTAGCCATTTACTATAATCACATTAATGTAAGTTGGAAATGATCTTCTGCCATGACTATCAGCCCTGGAGAGCAATTTACAAAATTTCTCATGGTTTAATGTGTCGCCTCCCCCGAGTACACAATAACTCCACTGCCAATGACTGATCAGTGAGTGTGTCCAGGAAGAATTCTGTCCAGGAAGAATTCTTCCTATTTCTATGAGCACTGAATCAGCTCTTAAAGGTAAACTTTTAGGTAGAAGATGTAACCATGACCGAGCTATGGACAAAAAACCCCCGTATATTAGCAAATCTTATGAACCTCTGCTCAAAGACCTAAGGGAGAATGATTTGTTTCAACTTTTTCCCTTCTTAATCATCGAATCATAGAATCATAGACTGGTTTGGGTTGGAAAGGACCTTAAGATCATCTGGTTCCAACCCCCCTGCCCTGGGCAGGAATGCCTCACACTAGACCATGTCACCCAAGGCTCTGTCCAGCCTTTCTTTGAATCACTTTTATTTCCTCCTCATCTCACTATTTCCTGGTCTGTGGCTATTCATTATTTTACCCTTCTGTTTCTTTTCTCTCTCTCCTTCCTTTCGTTTGCAGCCTTCCTCAGCACCACTATGGCATCTAGTAGCCTGTAACAAGAAGCAAGGCTACTTCATGCCATGTTGATACACACCACCTAAGCCTCATTCTGCTCTTGATTTTAGGAAATCGGGTTGCAGGCTCTGTTCCATGGCACTGCTCTGCACAGCCTCTGATATTGGTTTATTGCAGTTTTACCCCAAGTCAGATTTCTAATGTGCATCAAGATTCTTCCAAAAGAAAGCTGCTGAATGATACACCACAGTGTCTTCCCATGTGTCACAATTTTTTAAGACCTCTCTTTGATAACATTCTCACTTCTCCTTTCCCATGGGGCTTCTAACAGTAGAAACTACAGTTCCCAGATGCAGTAGGTGATGTTGGAAATGCCCCCTTACACCACTCCATTCCTTCCACTCTGCCCATACTTCATCCTCTTCCAGTTGCTTGCACTGCATTCTTAAACTACATTAGCATATAGATAAGCTCACTGAAGTTTTTGTGGATTAATTTGCTGCATGACAAATTCTGACCCTCATTTCTACCTGGTGCAAGATCCCATGTCATTGGGGTACTCAGATCTTCTAAAGCACTATGTATGTCCCCCATGCTCATTTCATACACCACATGACTGCAAATGGGAGACGTTTCTATGAGCTGAGGCATTAAGCACTGTCTCCTTGCAACTACACTTTATAAAAGATGCGTATTTTGTCAATTAAGGCACAAAATGTAACTTCTGGGAAGAGAGAGGACAGAATTCCTATTCCTTTGTAAATTGTTGCTTTGCACATCATTTGAAATGACTCAGCTTCTGGCTAGTGATTTAAAGGAGCACTAAGAAGCAAAACACAGAATCACACGTGCATGCCTCAAATACCTGCAAAAAGTAGAGTGACTTTCCGGTGGATTTTACAATAAAATCTTGTTTCTCTCCAAAGGTTTCTACAGCGACCTTTTCAGGGGAATGGAAAGTTCCACACAAATGACTTCCACTTCTGTGATGCCACTAAAAATAATATCTGAGTCCTGTATGGGAGGAACAGCCTGCCAAGCTGCTAGGGTGCTGGGATAAGCCTCGACAAGCCTATTTCTGCAATAAATAGAAAATCAGGCTAACATCTCCAGCCTTAGGGGTTTTATATTGCAGAATTTGACCCCTGAAATCAGATATATCAGCTATAGAGTTTTACTCAGACACATTCCATATTTTTTTAACTTTAGTAATAAGAAAACACTTATTTTTGCAATTTCAGGAGAGTATTTTTTGTGTTATGATTGAACAGTCATTCTGAAGCAGGCAGAAAAAAATAATCCAATTAGTTACAGAAGTTAATCTAGGACTGCAAAATTAAGCATGGTTGTCTTGATCTGATTCTTGCATATACACACAAGTTACAGATCATCATCCTTTGATCTTTCACTACAGCAGTTTTGCTCCTTACGAAGGAGCAGGTTATCTGTGGTTTCAATTAAGATTGGTAGGAGGCTGTACCCCTTCTCACCATAGATGCAGAGCCCATGGGCAAGAAGGGGATTGAGACCTGCAACTGCATAGCTGGCAGAGGCTGCAGCTTGTCTTCCC